CCCCCCTCCCACCCCCTCCGTTTCCCGACTGCTACGGTACTCGCGCGATCCCGGAGCGTTTTCCCTATCGACGTTAAGAGGTTTCCTTCCGGGAATATTCTCACCGTGCAAATCGCGTTTCGCCGTGTGTATTTTCGCGAGAAAATTATAATATCTCACCTCTCGTCCCCTCTTTTGATCTGCGAATCTCTTCGTTTTAATATCCTCCGGGCACGACCGTCGCCATTCTCGCGCGCACATTAAAACCCGACGACTTGTATTCGACGTCGCTTAATTGACCCTTTTTAATGAGAGTCTCTCCTGTATTTGGGGAGCAGAGTCTCACGAAAGAACGTTGGACATTTTCTTTTAGATAAAATTCAAAGACGCGTCTCTTCTTAACTCGCATCACGACCAGAACGATCGTTGGAGGATAAACATTTTTATCTTAATTAAACTTATTCAAGTAACGATCAGTTTTACTAAATTAATTTCGTAAGATTTTCGTAAAAATCTATCTCCACACATTGTATTGAATATACTTATTTTTTAACGATATAAGGAGAGAGCAACGTGTTCTAAAGGATCGATTAATCGATCTTTTCGATCGTCTTTTACGGTAAATTCATTAATCGCTAGGGCAGACCCAATTGCAATGTTTTTCTACGACCCTTAGCCGAACGGATTATAAGGGAAGCTGGCCATTTCTCTCCTCTCCTTCCCGCACACAACGTCGTCTTTTCATAAATCCCGGTTAAGTTATCGGGGCAGAGGGGAATGGAGAAATATCCTCGTGCGAGTCTGCGCGAGATTCGCAAAATTATTCCCACTTAGCCGCGATAATCGGGGCTGGATGTAATTGGTTTAAATGATTTTCCAGGCGAGCTAAGATGCAGAGATTAAATTTCGATAGAGCCGAGAAAGACAGAGAGATAGAGGGAAAGAGAGAGTAAGGGGAAGGAGCGGTAAATAAGAAGAATCTGTAGTGAGCTTGCGATAGTAGTTACTTATAATCGATCTCTATCGATATTTTACATCGGTGTATCTGAGGATACACCGTTGTGAAGAGTACAAAGTATCACGAAACTTTTCTATGAAGTTTTGTTTGGTAATTATTGATAAAAAGGGACCATCTTCCGAGGACGATGATCTTCACACATGTTATCAAGGTCATCGCCCACGTTCAAAAGGTGAAGTTCATCATTCTCGGAAGGTTTTTTCGTCCGTTTTTATCAATAATTTCCTCAGATTGTCCTGATTCATTCATATCGTGAAATATCATTTCTTCGGTTGATGAGTCGTTCTTCGGAGGGATTGCTTCACAAAAGTCTTGAACGTGCAAATAAGCGCGCGCGCGCGCACACACACATACACACACACATCAAGGAAAAATCGCGTCTTTTATTTGGTTGCTGCTTAACAACATATCCGAAGCCCATCGAGAAATCGATGATGAGGGACATTTCCGACAGTTCCCCTCATTAGATATCCGGCACTTTACCTTGTCCCATAGGAATCTGTCGTAGTTAGATGAAGCACGTAGAGAGGATTACGTTACACACAGTACTGATAGATGGAGAATTTGGAATCTCGGAAGGTCCAATACACAAGTCGTTCCCTCAAATCGAAGCAGAGAGGAGGGGAGATCAGGCGGGGGCGGAGAGTACTCAATAAAATAACGATATTGACCGTGCAATTTCCAGCCTTCCGCGACGCGGATGTGTATACGCGTGCGAACCATCGAGCCTCGTTATCTCTCCATTTAATCCTCCTCGATTTTAATTATAATGCGACGGCGCACGCGTCTGTCGTGCCGCCGTGAATGCGCAATGAATTTAACGCACAGACGTTATATCGGAAATTGTCCGGACTAATTTCAAATAAAATCGGAATACCTCTCGGCTGTTTACTTCACGACTCGCCGATTATCTCGCGATATTTTTATATCCGTTCTCTATCCCAGCGTCGCTTGCCGCGATAAAAGCCCGGCGAAATTGGCGTGATTGAGCGTAGATGCAGATGGAAAGGGAGAGGGAGAGAGAGAGGGGGAGGGAGAAAGAGAGACGCTGAATCGAGAGAAGGCGCACCGACCTTTCCTCCTCTTCCGACTCGTCACAATTAATTGCCGAAAATGGAAGAGCCGAGCCGAGTATAATTGGTCGGGGAACGGCGCGTACGGCGCGGTTTTCGAATACTTCTAGCCGATCTGGCCGACGTGTATAATTAATCGTAGTGAAATATTCCGAGCCGCTGATCATCGGCAATTAATTGAATTGCTAATAGCATTTCGGTTTATTATCGAGAGACGTTTAATATTCAGCGGGCCCGCATTTGTGATTGAGCTGCGCGTAGATGAATAGACATACATTATCAGTGCGGTACTCGCGGTATCGCCGCCCACCGCTAATGACGGCGATTTTATATATCGTCGATTCCGTGCGACGACCATACGACGTCGTGGAAAAGATACCGTCCGAAATCCGTTTCGAATTAATACCCGGCTCTCGACGAGCCGTAAATTATTTCCAGTCGGAATCGTCCACCGTGTGGCGACCACCGGAGCTTTCCGTTTTTCGTCACATTCTGCCGTCGATTAATTCGATGGACGCCACCCGAGGATTTTGATAGACTTCCATCGTCGATTCGCCGCGGCGTCTAAACGCCTAATTCATTCGGTCGCGCGGCTTCCACGTGTCGTGCAGTTTTCCGATATTATTATTAATTTCGTGCACACAACGTCGTCCGTTTTTCCCTTCGCGTCTTTGCGCCGCGTGTATCCTTCCGTTGTTCATCCCGAAACTGTACGATCGCCTGTTCCGTGAGCCTCCGTGGATTCGTAAATGCGATCAACTTCGTGCGGGCTTTTTCCTCAGGTATTAGAATACAATTACAGGTGCGATTTAAGACGACACGCGAATCAGGAAGCATGGAATAATTATAAAGGTTCTCAAGGTGTACGATCGAATGGAAGACAGGCAAGTAAGACCCGTAAACAGAGAAAAGACTTCTTCGGATTTAATTAAATTTCTTTAATTAAAGCAAATTTGTTTTCTAGAACGGAGCGAACAAACGAATGTTTGGTTCAACAGACAGGATTGTCTTACTTTTCAAGTAAAAAGCATCTTTACGTCAAACAGCATATTCCTTTTGTATTCTCGTCAAAATATTACAATGGCTGTTATAAGCAATAAATGATTTGAAAAAAAGTAACACTATGTTAGAAAAATATTGAGGAATTTCTTTCTTCTTTCAGAGGAACAATATTTAATAGGTAATGAAATACATTTTTTTAAAATTGAAAACGAAATATTATATATTTCCTCTGAATACTGTTTTTCCGTCAAATAATATAGTTTATTCCAGCGAAATAACATTTTCATTCGAACGAAAATATTTATGATATTTGTCATTAAATTATGTTGTTTGTATTATACAAACCCAAATCAAAGCTTTGTTTTCCATTTGATTGTAAACACGGAGAATATCTCTCTCGGGATTGTTTCTGCACGGAGGATTCCGCGCGACGTCTAAAATAAATTGCTAAATCTCTCGCATGGTGTTCCGTAGTTCGTCTATGAACAGGCAAGCAGCGTTCTGTGACAGGCATTATTCAGTAGACTCGGGTGAATTTTTCGTCGCTCGATCGTTGACATACGATTACGCAGGGTTTTCCATTAAGATATCTTATTTCGAATTATTAGAAGAACAAAGTTTTTTTTTTTTAAAGTGGTGATGTTTTTATTCCAATCCAAAGTATATACTGTACTTACATACATACGATGAACTTTTCATGCAATAACGTGACTGCTTCGATGTTTGTGCCGCACGTTGCGCCGTCCTGCTAGAAATAAACATCGTCCGGTTTCAAATCATCCAATTCAGGCCAGAAAAGTCGGTCAGCATTGTAACGGTAACGCCAGCCGATTCACTGAAACGGTGGCACCGGCTTTGTTTCTGAAAAAGACGGCCGGCTGAGCACGGGTTGGGATTTTCACTAACTTCACCCAAACGCTCTAATTTCTTCATTGGGTTAACAATTGCTGAACGAGAAAGTGCTTCATCACGACCAAAAGCGGTATGAACTTTGCGAACTGTCTCCGCGGAAATTTTCACCATTTTCCTGAATTTTCCAGTGAATTTTCACAATTTCTCCACGTTGCTGAAGAGTGTATCGTTCCATTCTCGTTAACCGTATATACTTTTTTTCTCAATGGAAAACTCTGTACCTTTAGAATGCATATCAACCGAGAAGTCGCACCGTAAGGATTAATTAGTCGTAGTTATGGAACGCGCCCAGCACCATAGTACACGATGTGCCTCCGTGACGTTAACGCTTTCGTCCCGCTCTCTCATTTTCAGCGATATCTCCGGCGAGCGGAAGTTACAACGAGACCGCGCACACCCTGCGATTCGCGCAAAGGGCGCAGAGCGTGGTCAACCGACCGGTGGTCAACGAGGATCCCGTGGCGAGACTCATCCGCGAGCTGAGGGACGAAGTCGCCAGACTGAAGTCCCTGTTACTCGAGAAGGCAAGAAACCCACGGCTACTTTTTATCCAGCGATTTGCGCGACCAAAATCGAGCCGGAGTCGACATTTTTCCGCCCTGCGGTGCAATTTTTCAATCTACGACTGTAATAGTTGCGCTGTACATCGGAGGCTCTTACAGGCCACATTTAGTATTAATTAGAATTCCGATCTCGGAATGTCGGTTTGGTGATTGAAAACAAACTGATCGAAGAGTGAATTTGACTAATATGGAGCGTTATATATACGAGTATATACGTTGCACGTGAAATATAAATCGAATCGACATACAATCTGCAGTAAGGAACGTTAACCGATGAGAAACTTCCTCTCTCGAGGGAGCCGATGGAATTTCGGATAAACGCGGGGGATGCGGCACAGATTTCGATATATCGATGCGGATTTCTCCGGCGAGTCGCCGAGCGTTATTGACGCGCAACGAGTCCATATTTTACGCGCGTGACGAAACACCGCTGGCATTTTTATCACGCGCGTCCGCGCGTTCGATCGACTAAAAATTAGCCGCGCATTCTCCCGCTCCGTCGGAGCGGCGGCGCGACGAGAATGAAGAATCGGGCTTTTCGGCCGGCGAGTCTGCGAAAATGCGAAAGAATTTAATCCCCCGGCTCTGATGTTGATCGAGCGACTTTATAACGCGGCACACACCGGGGCAACGCGTCGCTGTTGGAGGAAAATATTAATGAGCCTCGAGCGGCGCGCGCGCGCGCGATCGGTAATAGCGCGCGGCATTATAAAACAAATTTCGCAATTTCGCTCCGACGTGAAACGCGAATCAGCGATAAATAGCGGCCGATTTTTCAGGCGCGCTTCTCACACTCGCTCGCCGCCGCCGAGGGCGCGGGAGTTTATTATCGGGGTTTACCAATGCGAGAGAGAGAGAGAGAGAGATGCGGAGTGATATTGTCCAATGTCATTACGCAAATGAGATTCATCGATCGTTTATTTGACACTTATTGAGCGTTCGTCGCGAGCCGATTGGCCGAACGATTGCTGATAAAATATAACACACGCCGATGCGTTACGCTTAACGAGCGATCCGCCTCGTGTTTCCATTTCCATCAGGCGGCTCGCCCTATCCTTCATTTCCGCACGTTGCATAATCGTCGATTAATTAAATTCCTCGCGCTCCCCCGCCCCCCCAATCGTGACTCAGTCGATCGTGAGCTTTCACACCGTGGGTTTCGCGAGTCCGCGAGATGCGATATTATTCATAAATCTGTAATTTCTTTGTTACGGGTGGCGTGTTATGGAACCGTCGTGGTTTATGTCGGTGCGCGTGCATTTGCGCGCGCGTATATCACACAGATTACAAAAGATACAAAAGCTTACGGTTATAAAAGATTATAAAATAAAAGAAGATCAGTGAACGCATCTATTATTTGAAGCGGTAGAGAGAGAGAGAGAGAGAGAGAGACTGTGGCTATAAATAAACATACGAAAGCTCTGAAGATATACAGTTCCTGACCATATTATTAGATGCACCATAATTTTTTACAATTCATTGACTTCCGACGACCAGCTTTGTAACACGGCTCATCTATCGACTGAATTATGTTAAGGAACCATTATTCCATAAAAGGTATTTTTTGCACACCAAGTGCTCCTTTAATGCTACACATGAAAATTGAGACCTCCGGAGTCTTAATTTTAGTTTTACATTACAGTTTCCAAGCGGAGCAAAACGGCATTAATTTCTCCATTTGTATCAAAGGAGTACAATAGAAGACCTTGGAAGATTTCATGTAGAACTAAATTAGACTTAAAGTAGGACTAGAATTTCGACTCGGGTTAATCGTAGCGATGCGGACTGACGAGCAAAACCGAGTGACGACCGATTGACTTGTGATTGCAACTAGCGTTGCCAACGGTACTTTTCGTATTTATATTTAAAGAAAATTCAATTATATATTTATAAAAATGTCAAGTACGTTTTGTGATGTCGCGGAGGAAAAATATCACAAATTCTAGGTGGGACTTCATTCGCGGAATAAGAGTCGATAGTTCCGAGACACCCCGAGTGCACCTGAGGGTGGCGAGACGTTGAAAACTACACGGGCCGTAAAAATGTCGCCGACACGTCGCTCGCGTTAACTTCAAATCGCAACAAAATTGGTTATGCGCGTATCTTGTTGCAGGATATCGACCGGGGGAGTAAGGCGGCGTGTTGCTGCGGCAAAGTTCAAAGTTCAGAGGATTCGTCGACGAGTGATCAGTACCGCGAGGGGCAAGATCCGCTGGACAGCTCGCGTAGTCCGCGAGAACCTGCTTGGACGGATCACCCCTCGCTCTCGGCGAAGAGCGAGAGGTCCTTCGACGCGTTGCCGATCAGAAGGTTCAATTCGAGCGACAGCGTGACTACCTGCGAGACCGGCTGCTCGGCCTTCATCCGGAAGTTCGGCTCTTACGAGCACCTGCGGCCGACGGATCGCTTCGTCGGCAATTACAACCGGGCGAGGGTCACCGAGCTGAACGACGAGGAGGACGAGGCGGTGGACGAGATCAACGAACCGGTCTTCGTGGATATACCGACGTTGGTGGCGGTGCTGATCAAGCCGGACGACAGTCTGCAGGAGTCCTCGAATCAGATCGAGGAGATCTGCTCGGACGAGGTGGCGGAGGACTCGATAGACGTAGATTTCATCGGCAATGACGAGCTCGACGGGTCGTCGGACAAGATCGACGATGCCGAGCTGGAGGATCGCGGCAACGGTCTCGTGAATTGCTGCGGCAACGCTCTGGACGACTCGGGGATCGGCGGCGAGATCTCGCAGAGCCCGTCGTCGAGTCCGGTCGAGCGCAGTCGGGGTAAGTTCAGCAAGCAGAACTCGGTGGACCTGCCGTCGTCTAACCTGAACGTCTCGAGAAAGTTCGGCTCCATCGAGGGGATCGACAAGAAGAAGGAGCCGATCCTCGGGCTACAGCGGTCGCACACCAGCCTTGAAAAGCGGCAGCCGGCGCTGCCCGGCAAGAAGCTGAACAACATCCGCGAGATCGACGACCGTAAGGCTCAGGTCAGGCCGGCCGCGGGTATCTGGCGAGCGATCGGCAGTGCCGGCAGCAAGGATCAGCTGCAGAGGAAGAGCAGCAACGACTCCGACAGGAGTCTGAAGGACTCCGTCAGCGGGAAGAGCAGCAACGGCAGCGGCGGCAACATCGGCAGGAAGCCGAGCCTGGAGAGCCTGAAGAGGAAGACCAGCAAGGACAGTAGCTCCAGTAGCTCCAAGGACGAGCAGATCCTCATCTCGAGCCTGACGCGCGACAAGTTGCTGCGCAGGAAAAGTTCCCTGGAACACGAAGCGGCTGCGAGGCCGCACACGGCGATCCAGCGGGTGAAGCGCGCCGAGATCGTAGCGGCCGTCACCGAGCGGCTTTACTCCAGCAGGAAGCAACCGGAGGAGACCGGCAACATGGCAGCGACCGCCAGCAACGGCAGCAACGCAACGTCGGGCACTCGCTCGCCGCCGGAGAGCACCGACGTCAAGCTCGTCCCCGCCGGCAGCGTCGGCATCAGTAGCGGCTTCGCCGCGAGGTCGAAGCTCCAGGAGATCTCGCGGAAGATGCTGCTGAAGCGGCGCAGGATCAACGTGGAGACACAGACGGAGGCGGCGTCGACGTTGCGCCTTAAGGACACCGCGAGCCTCACGGACGAGCCCCGGCCGGTGCTGCAGGACGCGGCGGTCCTCACGGACGACCATGCGGATTGCGATGACTTTTCGCTGGTGACCGACCAACAGCGACTGCCGGTTCTCCGTGTGAAGGACGTCGCCACGTTGACGGACCGAGCGCGCACCAGCATCTACCGGTGCAAGGACGCCGGAAGCTCGGCGAACGACCTGGACTTCGGGGACGATTCCGAGCAGCCGCTCCGGCGCTTCCCAAGGAACGACTCGGACGTCCTCCTCGACGACGCTGTGCGGAACGGTCGATCCGAGGGCGACGGGAAAGCGCCGTGCGCGGACAGTTCGACGAACACTTTCGTCTCGTCGCCCGCGAGGAACTCGGCCGTGCAGACTGGGCAGCTGGTGCGCCAGCAGGAGCCGGATGGCCGGCGGAAGGACGTCGGTTGTGCTCGGTGCTGCGGGTTGCCAGCGGCGAGCAGTCCCGAGAGGAACGTCATCTCGATCTCCTTGCCGGACATGATCAGCATAACGATCGAGAGCACCAACGGCCTGGAGTCCAGGATCGCCGTGACGGACGGCGGCGATGCCGCGGAGGAGAAGCCGAGGCCCGTCTCCAGCGACAAGGAATCCCAGACGGACGAGCAGGTCGAAGGGTCCTTCTTGGAGGACCCGTCGGTCAGATCGACGGCCATTCAGGCGGACGGCAGGGTCTTCAGGATCGAGAACATCTTCCAAGACCCGAGGAACAAGAGTTCCTCGGACTTCGATCTGAGGAGGGACTACGCGACGAAGAGGGCGGTGACTTTCAGGAACTCCCTGGGCACTTCCTCCATCGTCGAGACGAGGGAGAGCGCCACCGGGATGGGGTGGGACAGGGCGCTGCAGGTTCAGCAGTTCGGCCAGAGGAAACGGCCGATCCTGAAGGGCGGCTTGACGCGCGCCTTCATCGCCAGGAGACGCGGCCGCAGCTTGAGCCCCAGGAGACTGGCGTATCGGCTCGTCCGGCACGAGCTCTGGAGGAACTGGACTCTACCCCGCCCGGGGAAGTCGCCGAGCCTTGTTGGATGCAGCGGAGAAGTGATCGACGCGCCTTCTCGTGTGAATCAGGTGGGCGCTGATTCAAGGACGCTGATCGATGAGCTGTCTTCCTCCGCCGAGTGCGCTCCGGACGATGAAGCGCCGGAAGATACGACTTATCACTCGTCCGGTCGGATCGCCGAGGACTCGAAGAAACCGGAATCCACCTCGACGAAGGCTCCGTTGGATTACGAGCACAATTTCTCGGACGACAGCCTCGATTATGAGGAAGACTGCGTCGCGAAGAGAGCGACGGTTGCGGATTCGCGTGAAAGCTACGAAAACCTCTGTCCTCCGGACGTAGTTGCGCACACGAAGAAGGAAGCGTCGAGGCCTGCGAGCCGCATAGACGCGATCAGCGCGCAGTCTTCGATGGACGACGATTTCGAGTTCCCCGAGGTGGAGTTCCCGAAGAGGAAACCCACCGAAGCGTCG